TACACAAAGCCATATTCTTATCTTCAGCTACCACAGTATACATGTCAGATTAAATAATACCACTTATACCTTAGCTTACCAATTATAATTAATATTTATATTAGACTCAAGACTTAGACTCAGCTTTATTGATCATTTGGGGAACTCCTTCAGGGAAATTCTGGTTCCAGTAATACACTCACCGGCCACTTTATTAGGTACGCCTGTCCAACTGCTTGTTAACACTTAATTTCTAAGCAGCCAATCTCATGGCGGCAACTCAGTGTATTTAGGCATGTAGACATGGTCAAGACAATCTCCTGCAGTTCAAACCGAGCATCAGTATGGGGAAGAAAGGTGATTTGAGTGACTTTGAACGTGGCATGATTGTTGGTGCCAGAAGGGCTGGTCTGAGTATTTCAGAAACTGCTGATCTACTGAGATTTTCACGCACAACCATCTCTAGGGTTTACAGAGAATGGTCCGAAAAAAAAAAAACATCCAGTGAGCGGCAGTTCTGTGGGCGGAAATGCCTTGTTGATGCCAGAGGTCAGAGGAGAATGGCCAGACTGGTTCGAGCTGATAGAAGGGCAACAGTGACTCAAATAACCACCCGTTACAACCAAGGTGGGCAGAAGAGCATCTCTGAACGCACAGTACGTCGAACTCTGAGGCAGATGAGCTACAGCAGCAGAAGACCACACCGGGTGCCACTCCTTTCAGCTAAGAACAGGAAACTGAGGCTACAATTTGCACAAGCTCATCGAAATTGGACAATAGAAGATTGGAAAAACGTTGCCTGGTCTGATGAGTCTCGATTTCTGCTGCGACATTCGGATGGCAGGGTCAGAATTTGGCATCTACAACATGAAAGCATGGATCCATCCTGCCTTGTATCAACGGTTCAGGCTAGTGGTGGTGGTGTCATGGTGTGGGGAATATTTTCTTGGCACTCTTTGGGCCCCTTGGTACCAATTGAGCATCGTTGCAACGCCACAGCCTACCTGAGTATTGTTGCTGACCATGTCCATCCCTTTATGACCACAATGTACCCAACTTCTGATGGCTACTTTCAGCAGGATAATGCGCCATGTCATAAAGCTGGAATCATCTCAGACTGGTTTCTTGAACATGACAATGAGTTCACTGTACTCAAATGGCCTCCACAGTCACCAGATCTCAATCCAATAGAGCATCTTTGGGATGTGGTGGAACGGGAGATTCGCATCATGGATGTGCAGCCGAAAAATCTGCGGCAACTGCGTGATGCCATCATGTCAATATGGACCAAACTCCCTGAGGAATGCTTCCAGCACCTTGTTGAATCTATGCCACGAAGAATTGTGGCAGTTCTGAAGGCAAAAGGGGGTCCAACCCATTACTAGCATGGGGTACCTAATAAAATGGCCGGTGAGTGTAGAGTACAAGTAGTTAAAGCAAGGTGCCATTAAAAATAATAATATGACAGACAATATAAAAAGAGTGTATTTAGTACAAAAAAAGCATAAAAAAAGAAAAAAAGTTGTAATATCCTGGAATATGTTTCCCTTAAATATAAAATTATCTGCACAGTAGAGAGCTATGGTAAGACTATATAGTTGACTTGGGTTATTGCACGTGCATTGCGGACCTGTACTGACCATATAAATAAGTGACAATTATACAGGCTACACAGTAGTTGGCATGTGTAATAGTTGGCACAGTGAGAGAGAGGAATATTGCACAGGAGTGACAATAGGTAATGTTTTTCATAAGATGTCTAAGGAGGGGGTCCCCCGTCCTCCTTCCCCCAAGAGAGGAGTTGTACAGCTTGATGGTTTGGGGAACAAAGGAGGTCAGCAATCTGTTAGTCGTGCAATCTCCCACCTATTTACATAATGACAGAATAATGCTAATTTTCAAATTTTTTGAGAGTTAAAAAAATGTAATAAACATACATTTACTATGTAAATGTACACTTGTGTTTTAAGCTTGTTTTTGCCCATTATTCCTAAAGAGAACTGTTCTAAATATGTCAGGCTGCCATATTTGCATAGAACATCAGGGTATTTTGACGACTGCTCCAACACACTAACTTTTTTGTCCTTGTTTTTTTTTGTTTTGTAACTTAAATAATGGTTTAGGGTTATTGATCAGTTAGCAGAACCGTTTGGACCAAAACTTAACTGATGTCTGTTTTTTTCCACGTGTCTAAACATTTAGCCTTTCTGTCTCTGTGACACAGAACCAATACATTTCATGAGCATTATGACAGCTGCGAGTTTCCATGGTGTTTTTAATTTGGTAGAGATGTTTTACCAAAAGAACAGACTATCTTCATGCTTCAGATTTAATCTAAGATTAAGGTTAGAAGGTGATTAATTTACAGAGTGTACCAAACCACTGTAAGGGATTTCTCAATTTGGGTCCAAGTCCAAAACCACGCCCTGGTTCCTGGCATACTCAGCAGGTTTCTAGCTTCATTCTGTCAAGAAGAGTGCAGATCTTCAACACTTTATATTACTTCTCTCTTTTCTGCATTGAGGTCAAGAGAGAAAACAAGGTTATCCTCAAGAGACACTGTTTCTAATGAGAGGAAAAAAACATCAAAAAGTTTGCAAATCCAAAGGAAGGATTTTTTCATCTGCAAATAATACCTGCCTATGTTAATAATGGAAGGAAACTGAAACAGAAATGTCAAAATAAACTAAAACTGTAAGCAGTAATAAAAAGGATACAGCCTTGATCTGTTCTATACTATTTATACCATAGTTCAGAGCAACATCTTACAACTGGAACAGTTGTTTTTTGTCAACAATACATACAATTTGAGCATTACAAAACTGGACAACTGGGTCATGATAAAGGTATGATGTTAGCATGTAAGCAATGATTAAATAAGACATGGGATTCTGTGCAAATCTTTTACCTGAGATAAGGAGAAAGTGATCAAACTGCTGCTCAGTAATCCAGAGTCCTTAAATGAAAGTAAGGCTGGGCAATATGTTGAGATTTTAAAAATATTGAGTTTAAAAAAAAAAAAAGAGAAAGGCGATCAGTCTATACTGTTAACATAGAAATGGTCTCCATTTCAATTTAGTTATACTCTTATAAACACTGAACGTTTTTTTGATATCAGGTTTCTCTAAAGCTGTTAGAAAATGTGAAATTTTACATTAGGGACAAAGCCTCCTTTAAATGTGTCTTTTTATAACTACTTTAGGGAAATAGAAATGGATATGATTTTGCCCAATTTTCCCAATTCCTAGATGAAAGTTTACATTTCATTATGGAATCAAGGTCCCAGAGTCTGGAGGAAGAGTGGAAAGTCTAAATACTTCCTTATGCTGACAACCGTTAAGGAGATGCTGTCTTCATTTTCAAACAGGACTTGGTACCAGCACAAACTTCTACATGGAACAAACACGGGTTCTACTTGGCAGCAAACACACAGGAACTGAACCCCTTAGAGAGGTTATAGTCACTTTTTGTAATGTTGGGACAAAGATGTTACTCAGCAAAATGTTACTCAGCAAAAATCAACATTTGATGTATTTTAAAATTAAAGCCCTTTAAGATTCTCTCTGCCATGTTGCCGTCAGTATTGCAAACAGAACTGTTTACCTCAGCAGTGCCACGGGCTGATGGCCTCCAGGCCACAAAGCATTGATCCAGTCATATAATAGCTGACAAAGTGCTGAGTGCATATAAATACTCAGCAGTGGTTCAACATTTCTGTTAGAAATCCCATTTTTTAATCAATCTATCGAAATGAAATGACTTTATCAATCAAAGATAACAAAGCAAACTATTGTTTATTCTTTTTATTTTCAACTTTATGATTCTCTGTACAAAGATCTGATTTACATGTGATTAAAGGACACCGACTTTAAAACAAATCTAATAAAAGGTTAAAATCAGATGAAACATAAACCTGTTAATGGGCCTTTAAAGCAGACCGCAGTAGTAGAGTATGAAAGTGAGGCTTGTGAATCCTGTAAATACTGTTGGGTCGAAGCAGACCAGCTAAAACACAGATGTTTTAGCTTGTCTTGTTTGATAAAATACTCTCTTAACACATTTTGTTCTTGAACAGCTTGTTTTACATGTGTCCAGAACCATATTAAAGGAATAGTACACCCAAAACATGATTAGCCTTCATTTTCTACTCACCCCCATGCTGAACAACACTCTGGAGTACTTTTTTGATATCTCAAATGCATCTGGAGATCTGGGAGGCTTCTTGCTGTCTGCTGACATTCAAATAATGGAGGTCCATGGCGCCCGAGACAGAAAGGTCCATAAAAGTCCACAAAAACGTGTCAATATTCCTCCATACTGCTCGTCCAATGTAATCCAAGTGTCCTGAGTGGGTAGCATCCAGAATTTACTCGAAACGAAGTCATTTAGAATGTTTTTAGAGCATAAACAGTAGTGTATAGGATTTCCTAATAGCGCCCCCATGCGCGCTCACGACGCTACGGAAGCCGGCAGACCAAACCGGAAGAAAGTGCGCATTCAGCGTCTGGTCTGCCGATAATGCAAGCGTAGAAGAAGAAATGTGCTGTTTACCTGTGCAAAGAAAGAAACAACGAAAGAAAAATGTCTGAGGACTTCAGTGTTGAGGAAGAGCATGAGTTCTTTGCCGAGCTGAATGCGCTGGTTTGGTCTGCCGGCTTCCGTAGAATCGCGAGCGCGCATGGGGGCGCTATTAGGAAATCCTATACACTACTGTTTATGCTCTAAAAACATTCTAAATGACTTCGTTTCGAGTAAATTCTGGATGCTACCCACTCAGGACACTTGGATTACATTGGACGAGCAGTATGGAGGAATATTGACACGTTTTTGTGGACTTTTATGGACCTTTCTGTCTCGGGCGCCATGGACCTCCATTATTTGAATGTCAGCAGACAGCAAGAAGCCTCCCAGATCTCCAGATGCATTTGAGATATCAAAAAAGTACTCCAGAGTGTTGTTCAGCATGGGGGTGAGTAGAAAATGAAGGCTAATCATGTTTTGGGTGTACTATTCCTTTAAGTCCTTTTAATCAAGCCCAGACATTAGAAAGCATTTTCCCATAAACAAACGATAAGCAAAGAGAAAGTTTTCATTCTTAACTCCGTCAAAGTGAAATTAATTCAGAAGATCATAGTTTAACAACAGACACTCTGTACAGGCAAGTCTCATTGTTACTGCCACCATTAAGATCCTCTTCACTGACATTCCTCCTAATGATCATTCATGCGGGCATATGGATTCTCCTTTGTTATACCTATAAAACATGTGATCAAAGACCAAAGTTAAGGAAAACATAATAGCTTTATTGTTTCATTTATTATTTATTTTTATTATTAAAAGTGGATTAAATGTGTGCTTTACAGTTTTGCCTTTATCCACTAGATGGCAATGTTGACAATTTAAACATGTTTCTCAACCTACCTTATCCAATAAATCTTTATTGTACTTTTGTTTAAATTGCATATTAATGATCCTAAAACCTCTCACTGATATTCTCCACTTTAATTAGCCGTCATGATGAGAAACATTGAAGGAACAGGTCTCACCATATTTGTGCCTGATTTCATCATGCCTCATCTGGATCTCGGTTTTCCTAAAGAGGAAGAAAACATGGACAGAGTGTTTATTTGTACGCTAGATTTTAATGTTATGTGTAATTCACAAGATTTATGTGCAGAGTATGTTAGAAATTGTTTTTTTTTTTTAAGTGGCATTAATGGAATATAGGTCAAATTAGATGTTCGCAGAAGAAAGAGGAAGAGGGAGGGTTTGATTCGGTACTTAGCAAACACATACTGAACAGCCATTCACCTGGCTTTCTGACGGGCTTTCCTCGCTCGGGTCTGTCTCTCCACCTGCGCATCTTCTCTGCTGCTTCTGAAAAAGAAGATTACGTATTTTTATAATCATCACGGTTTTATTTTACAGGTTCAAGTATGAAATGGTTTAAAGATATATTGAAGGATGTTCTTTTTCTGGGTGGATCATCAAAATAAGTGGTCCTCCCAACTGTCAATCATTCTGGTGATATGTTTACGTAACGCCGTCCTACATGCTTGTCCCCAACTTCACTTACTGGGGGCGATGCTAACATAGTGGAAAAATTGCTAATTTTCTTTTAGAAGGTGCAAACAGCAACTTTTAAACAGAGCGTGCACAAGGAGAAATGGGCTTGTGAATGCCCTTGCACGTTGAATTGAGCTGAATTTAATTCTGATCAGCATGGAGGAGAGACAAGAATAAATACATTGCTGAAGGAAAGCCAAAAGACAGTGTTTGTTCTACTTAGATGAAGTAAAAGTTAAAATGTTTGTTATCAGAAATGAATTATTCAATTTGTGTAAAGCTAACAGTACTTTAACCGAAATATAAAGCAGCCCCGAAAAAAAAAAAAAAGGTGGTGGTAGTGTGATGCTGTGGGAAAGCTTTGCTTTGAAAGGGAAAGGGAAGAGTTGATTGGTAGAAGCATGGAATGAAATACAGGGCGGTTTTCACTTACTGGGGCGATGCTAACATAGTGGAAAAATTGCTAATTTTCTTTTAGAAGGTGCAAACAGCAACTTTTAAACAGAGCGTGCACAAGGAGAAATGGGCTTGTGAATGCCCTTGCACGTTGAATTGAGCTGAATTTAATTCTGATCAGCATGGAGGAGAGACAAGAATAAATACATTGCTGAAGGAAAGCCAAAAGACAGTGTTTGTTCTACTTAGATGAAGTAAAAGTTAAAATGTTTGTTATCAGAAATGAATTATTCAATTTGTGTAAAGCTAACAGTACTTTAACCGAAATATAAAGCAGCCCCGAAAAAAAAAAAAAAAGGTGGTGGTAGTGTGATGCTGTGGGAAAGCTTTGCTTTGAAAGGGAAAGGGAAGAGTTGATTGGTAGAAGCATGGAATGAAATACAGGGCGGTTTTCACTTACTGGGGGCGATGCTAACATAGTGGAAAAATTGCTAATTTTCTTTTAGAAGGTGCAAACAGCAACTTTTAAACAGAGCGTGCACAAGGAGAAATGGGCTTGTGAATGCCCTTGCACGTTGAATTGAGCTGAATTTAATTCTGATCAGCATGGAGGAGAGACAAGAATAAATACATTGCTGAAGGAAAGCCAAAAGACAGTGTTTGTTCTACTTAGATGAAGTAAAAGTTAAAATGTTTGTTATCAGAAATGAATTATTCAATTTGTGTAAAGCTAACAGTACTTTAACCGAAATATAAAGCAGCCCCGAAAAAAAAAAAAAAGGTGGTGGTAGTGTGATGCTGTGGGAAAGCTTTGCTTTGAAAGGGAAAGGGAAGAGTTGATTGGTAGAAGCATGGAATGAAATACAGGGCGGTTTTCACTTACTGGGGCGATGCTAACATAGTGGAAAAATTGCTAATTTTCTTTTAGAAGGTGCAAACAGCAACTTTTAAACAGAGCGTGCACAAGGAGAAATGGGCTTGTGAATGCCCTTGCACGTTGAATTGAGCTGAATTTAATTCTGATCAGCATGGAGGAGAGACAAGAATAAATACATTGCTGAAGGAAAGCCAAAAGACAGTGTTTGTTCTACTTAGATGAAGTAAAAGTTAAAATGTTTGTTATCAGAAATGAATTATTCAATTTGTGTAAAGCTAACAGTACTTTAACCGAAATATAAAGCAGCCCCGAAAAAAAAAAAAAAGGTGGTGGTAGTGTGATGCTGTGGGAAAGCTTTGCTTTGAAAGGGAAAGGGAAGAGTTGATTGGTAGAAGCATGGAATGAAATACAGGGCGGTTCTGGAAGAAAACCAATTGGAGAAGGCAAAACATTTCTAAATTGTTGGCAGAACTTCTTTTATTGGGATAACTAACCTAAGCATAATGCCAGAGCCACAATACAATGGTTTATAGATTAAATTATAGGTCTATATAAATACTAGAATTGTCCAAGGAAGGTGCAGACTGTTCTAGAACACCAGCAGGCAAAACCTGAACACTTCTGTTCTTAACACATTCCAGTTCTTGTTACCCAGAGAAGAATTGGTAAACACTTTAGTCTCTAGACACTGAAAGCAGGCAGACACATTTATCCTAAAGGTCTTGCAGCTGTAACTGCAGCAAAAGGTGGTTCTGCAGAATACAAAATGTACACCAGACTTTTCTTTTTTTTTTTACTTGGAAAAAATAAAACCACATATTTTCATTCAGCTTATAATTATTTTCTTTGCTTTGCTCCATCGTGTCACCTTGAAATAAAATACATTAAAGTTTGCAGCTTTTAATGGAAAAAGTTTAAAAGCTTTAAATACTTTTCAAGACAATCTACTTTTTAAACTTTGCAAATAACAGGAGGTACAATGTCTTCAAAATTGTGTTTCCAAATTTTATGAAATAAAAAAAAAAAAAGTTTAAAAAAATACTGAGCATTAAAAAAATAAAGTGTATTTCTTCTCTTCCAACCCAGCCTTTATTCATCAGTGAGAGAAAGTTGTTTGGAGATAGCGGTGTCAGCCCAGCTGTTCACAATAATAGGCCTTTGTCTCACGCTCACCACCACTCTACCTCCTTCAGATTGCACTACCAGTGTGTTTCCTTAGACTCATTGCTTACCCAATTCGCTCACACTTGCAGCAGCAGAAGCAGCAAACGAGAATGGCGATGATGATGACTCCAGCCAGCACCGACATTGTGATAATCAATATTTGGAAGTTGACTGTAAATTTTAAAAGAAGAAAGGTGTAATCCTCCATCAATAAACAGAAGAGCCAGCTATGCAACAATCTGACCTGCGAGGGTTTAAGACTATTATTTAATTTGGAGTTAAAAGTTTCCAAGATAGAATCTGATTTTAAAGTGTTTTTAAAAATCACAGCAAGAGTTCCCACATTTTAATAACATTTTCCTGTAACTGCTGAGATGGTCAAAGAGGCTCAGAATTACAAGAATAACAACCAATGTTGGCAATAGTTCACTGACTGACATGCCAGCTAGAAAATAGGCTAATTCCTGTACTGAAAAAAAAAAAAAAAAGTGCAACAGTTTTTGGCTTTTACTTAATCATATTTAGTTTAACATATTTTTTCCTCTTAGAAGGAGGACATAAAAAATGTGTTAAAGTAACCAATTGTCAATATGTAGATGCCAAAAACGGCTATATTGGGAATCGCTGATGCCTAACAAGAAGGATCCTGTTGCCAAAATAGGTTTGATGCAGGACACGTTTTAAGCTTTTATAGAAAATGTGTTTTGTGACTGGGTTGTACTCAAAAGGTTTTTAAATGTTATATCATTTTTTACTTTGCAGTTTTGAATTTTAGACATCTGATAAACTGAAAATGTGATTACAATAGTGATAGATTTCATTAGAAAGGCTATTAGTCACCTTGGAAATCTAATTTTATATAATTAATCATTAGTATTGTAATGTTTTTAATTTATTAACACTATATACTTGTATATCCTTTCATGTCTAATTTAATGTATAAAATATTTTTTGTTTACAAAGAATACCAGTTTTACATTACACAGGTACATTCTGTGCGTAAACCAAGTGTTAGAAGCTAAAGATTCCATCTAAAAATATTAAAAGTTATGCACAAAACTAAAAATACAGTGAAAAAAATAATGCAACCCTTATTAGCCTTTACTTAATCATATTTAGTTACTTTAACACAATTGTTTCATATTAGCAGGGTAGGACATAAACAATTGTGTAAACTAAATATGATTAAGTAAATGCTATAAGCAGTTGCATTATTGTTTTTAGTGTAAACTGCAGCCGAATAACTAACAGAATATTAACATTTAGTAAAAAAAGATCATAATTAAAAAAAGAAATGATATTGTGAGAAACTATAGTAAGAAAAATAATAATAAGTGGAGATCAACATGTAAAGTGCACTAATAATATCTTTGGTACGTGAAAAGCTGACGAGTTTGGGACAATTTTTTTAGTCTTACCCCAACAAACCCCCCAACGTGCATCATTCAGAGGGCAAACACTGCTGGGGGGCAGGATGTTCTTCACTGGGTAGTCAATGCACTGTTTGTTCAAAGAGCACCACAAGCACTGCAACAGGAAGGGAGACACAACACTTTTATTGGTATGCAGGGTAAGCTAGATATGTCCATGTTCACTTGCAAAGGAGAAATGAAAATCTGACCCATATCTATCAATCTATCTGGAGCTGTTTCCTCTGTATACCTTGAGGGGGTGGTCGCTTTTCCAAAATTAATACAGTTTAACAAGAAAACTGAACTAAACAAAGATAAAATATGATCCATTTGGATGAAGACAAGTATCATTTCTCATAGCAGTTACCACATTTTGTATGGCAGTGCAAGATGCATGTTAAAACACTCTTCAACCAATTTGGCAGTGACATCATGAGGGGAGTTGGCAAAAGATAAAGTTTCAGTTTTATTATATATCTTTTTTGTTTCGATCGAATAATTTCAATATCAAACAGAAAATTAAATAAAAAGTTGATTTCATTTCGGGGAGGAGCAAAAAACTAACAATCACATGATTATTGACCAAATATGATAGGGTTTAAATAAAACGGGTCACAATGCAAAATCAAACAAAATTTGTTGGCATTATAAAAACAGATAAAAATTGAAGATATTCTTTTAACTTTGTATTTTAAGTAAATCTATATGTTTTTATCGGGGAAGACGTGGAACAGGACAGGTAGGATGTAAAGAGGAAACAGCGCCACCTAGAGTCATACTCTACTATATTTGCAGAATTTGATGCAAGGCTAAAAATCTAAAATTTAACTTTAAAAACAATACAAAATTAAAGGGTCAATAAGTAGGCCTAAATAGTACAAAAGACATTAAACCCCAGCCAGCATATTTCTGCTGATCAGAATTCATTTTTTTTTCCATTTGCTGACCATGACAACACATCAGGATATAGGAAACAACAGAGGGGTGGGAATCTTACAGCCACATTCTGCAGACATTCATCACAGCTTGTGTTTGATGCCAGGCTACAAGGAGCTGAAACAAAGGGAAAAAAAACAGTGAAGATTTCTGCCTCTTATCTCTGAATTCTGACTTTAATCTAAAAAACAAACAAACAAAAAAAACAAAACAAACAAAAAAACAACAGATTTTTACATTTTGTTTCAGTTTAATATGAGAAAAAAGTCAGAATTCTGACCCTAATCTCAAAATTCTGACTTTTTTCTCAGAATTCTAATCTCTAAATTCTGACTTAATTCTGACAGCTAACAAACATGTTAGCATCAAGCTGTAGCCATGTCTGTTTTAGAGACTAGCTCTCTTGTTTTAATGACCTTCTGCTCCTGCATTAATGAAATAGCATCACCAGGGACCACTTGGGCACATAAAAAGTTGCCTAATTGCATTATTTTCCACCAATGTGTTATCAGCCCTCCCAAACCACTCACATCTTTGTCATTGAAGCTGCTTGCTCCCACATCTCTTCCTTCATGGTGTCCATCTGAGATTAAAGACAGAATTCTGAGATTAAAATCAGAATTCTGATTTTTTTCCTCATATTAAACTGAAATAAAATGTAAAAATCGGTTGTTGTTTTTTTTGTTTGTTTTTTAGTGGCCCTAATCCTCTTCCATACAAAGAAGAGGAGTGCTCCCAAATCTCTTTCTTTATGGTGCCCACCTACATTAAGATCCAAAATTCTGAGATTATAATCAGAATTCTGAGAAAAAAAAGTCAGAAGTCTAAGAAAAAAGTCACAATCCTGAGATTAAAGTCAGAATTCTGACTTTTTTCTCATATTAAACTGAAAAAGAAAACACACACACACACACACACACACACACACACACACACACACACACACACACACACACACACACACACACACACACAAAAAACAGTTACCTTTTTATTTTTTCAGTGGCCCTAATCCTCTTCCCTATAAAGAAGCTTGTAAAAGTTGGAGTGTTTTGTAGCCAGTTTGGGTTGATGCTGACCCAGACTGACCAACAACTTTAACTGCCAAAAGCAACAAGAACCCAGTTTTTACAAAAAGCTAATGAGAAAAAATCATTACCTAAATCGCTTATCTTTGCATTTCCTTACTATAAAACCAATTTGCTGATGTCATGTGACAACCTCCTGACCACAAAGACCGCGCAGGAAAAAAAAAAAAAAAAAAACTCAGAAAAGTGAAGAAAGCTTACCCGGAGCAGGGGAAGGCGTTGTAGTCTCCGCATCTGCTGCAGCAATAATGAACACAACGAAACAGATGTTAGAAAAGAAATAAAAGAAAGACGAAGCTGAGCTAAAAAAGCCGAACATGGTGCCACTAGCGATCAGTAGAGAGGAAAAAATGCTTTTGTGAGGAGGCAAAGTGAAGGCTGGACGTCTGCTTTATGACGTCATGAGCAGCTGACTCTTCTGTCATTAAACAGCTGCAAACATAATGATACTTTATAGGGTGAAATAAACGCTCAGTTTAAAACCAGCAATATGCTTATTTTCTGCAAGGGATTGCAAACTAATAAAAACCTAATTGTACAAAATGAGAACTTTACTCATTTTAAATTACAGGGCCCATGATGAACCAATTTAGGGCAAACCATAGAGTCATATAACCCACACGTTTTAGGCTGAAATGGCATTTTCCTAAAGATGATTGGCTGACTGAGGTATGTCTGACTGTAACTTTAAACAATGGATACTTTGCAATAACATGGGTTAAGAGTCCCTCTCTGCCAAAATCGGTGATCTACTGTGTCTACTCTCCTAAATAAAACCACTAAAAGATCAAAGTGAATAATCCTGTTTCTGTTCTTTGAGTTTTGTGTGCATGCTCATCAATAAATAATGGCCTGTACTTGGTAAACCATTAAACATTTTTTAAACAACCTCAAGTAAAACAAACAACATTTTTAAAAGCAGGATTTCATTACTGGAGGTATATGGGCTGTACTTGTATAGCTCTTTAGCAAGTGCATGGACTCCAAAGCACTTCATATTACATTCAGTCATTCATCTATTCACAAGCTGTTGGTGGTGAGCTACAGTTTAGCCACAGCTGCACTGGAGCAGACTGACAGCAGTAACAAGATGAACCACTATATCCTGAGCCATGGTCGCACCACTATAGAAAAATATTCTTGCTCCCTTTTTTCTAATCTTTTCTGTCAGTTTTGGGTTTTTCAACAGTGATGTGTAAAACATGCCAAATATAAAATTTTCCTCCATGTTAATCTTTTTCATTTTGATTTTCAAAGCTATTGAAAAAAATAGTGAAGTCTGGAAAGGTGTTTCCTTTGGCGGATGTGAAGAATCCTATATAAGGAGTGTAGTATTCTTTATTATTATAAAGGACGTCTCAATAACCCAGTGTGTGTCTAAATAAAGTTAAACTGCTGTTGTTTTTCAGTTCAAACAATGAAACATATTGATTATGTTTAATTTTTTCCTGCTTTTTTTATTGTCATTACAGTCACAAGTACAAAGCAATAAAAGTTACTCTCTGCTTTTAAACGATCCCCTTGGGGAGCAGTGGGCTGCCATCATGGGGCTCCTGGGAGCAATCGGAGGTTAAGGGTCTTGCTCAGGGTCCGAGAGTGGGAGTCTAAGGGAAAGGAGCTGGAACTCAAAACCCCGGGATACCAAGCGCAATGCCCTAACCACTAGGACACCACTCCTTCACAAAACTCTCAAGACTGCAGTTATCCTTATCTATTGTGTTTTTTCTTTTTTTGCCTTTTTGGTGTCCTTACATTAAACATTTTTGCAATATTTTTAGATAAACCTATCAGGTAACAGCGAGTTTCTTTGGCTCTTAGCTTTTGCGTCTAATAGAGGGTGTCAGTGAATCTCTGTTAACTGTCTGGTCAGCAGCCTTCTCCATGACTGACTAGGCTATTAAGTAACATTTCTGGTTTAGCAATGTATTTGTTCTCCTTTTTTGCTTTAATGTCATCATATTATTCAAGAAATTAAAATCTGAGTTTTCATTGGCTGCAAGTCATAATCCTCGAAATAAATAGAAATAAAAATATTAAATATATAACTTTTTCCACAGTTAGTCAGTCCATATGTTTTAGCTCTGAGATACAAAAATAAATAAACTTTTGATAAAAGGGATTTTTTATAGATTTTTTCAGGTAAAAAACAAACAGAATGAAATATATGAGAGAATAAGAAGTTTCATCCATCCATCTTCTTACATGCTTAATCCCAAGTGGGGTGGTGAGGGGTGCTGGTGCCTATCTCCAGCTGTATACGGGCAAGAGGCGGGGTACACCCTGGACAGGTCGCCAGAGAATAAGAAGTTAACTAAGGTTTAATATTTATCAGTCTTTTGTAACTTATTCATGTTTAAAGGTCCCATATTTTGCAAAACTCACTTTAAAAACATTTTCTAATAGTCATAGGTGTCCTGCAACCTGTGTACGAGGTTTACAAATGAAAAAAATAAAAGCTTTACCCTTTCTCATTGTTTTTTTCCCCCTCATAGTTAATGTGTGCTGAAAATGCTCAAGCCCTTTATCATGTCAGGTGGGGACATCAGGCACTCTCTGCTCACCAACACCCAGCATCCAACCAGACATGGTGAGGCTCCATTCACACTCCCGTATGAAGGGTCTCAAATCGGATTTTTTTTGCTCCTGTTGATTAAGAAATGAAAGATGAGCTTCAGCCCTACCATTCATGGTTACTTCCACAAACAAAGAGCACACTCGCATGCATGCATGCAGTTCAGACGGGAGATCACATACAAGTCGCATATATTTGGAAACATGAACAACCATGCAAAGCAATTGGATTTCACAGGAAAATATCAGAACTGAGCATTAAGGCCGGAAGTGTAAACAAAGCTTTTAAAGCAAGAGCCGGAAACAACTTTACTGTGTTGGAATGTTTAGCCCGCAAACATGTTAGAAATGCAGCTAACGTTTGTGTCCTCAGCTGTTTTGATTTTTTATATTTTTTTATATACATGGATAATCTTCTCTGTGGTTTACAAACAGCCTTTTCCTTACATGACTGTGACAACCTGCTGTCACACTCTGAAGCTGTGTGGTAACTTTTACATTTTTCATTTTCAAAATCAGTTGCACATTTCATATATTTTCATTAGCCTGACTTTAAGTTAACTTTTTGCAGTGCACACATTTAGTAAACTTTATTTTTCAGGCTGTTTTTTTTTTTTTGTCAAGTTGCAACTGATTAATTTTTTTTTTCTTTGAGTTGCTAGTTTCCTTGGGATCTGCTGGTGGAGGGCTGCAATGAGCTCCACCTTTCCTCAATTGATGGTTGCTGCTGGCTAATCAGTGGGTCAAACCATTTGTAATTTGAAGGGAAATTTGTTTAAATATTCTTAGTTTGGGTAATTTTGTTAATTAGTTAAATTTAAAAAGTATTTAGTGTCTGGCCAGTATTTATCTGTTTAATTAAGTTTATTTGTTTATTAGTTTGTGTGTCAACAGTGGTCTGATCAGCCACTATTTGAGTTTCCCTCATGTCCTGTTTGTTAGGTCAGTTTGTGCTTGAGTTCTTTATTTTAAAGCCTGAATTGAATTCTGTTTTCTTGACCTCTGTTTTTGGGCCCAGTTTATAATTTTTTTTTTTTACATTTTGGGAATAAATTAAGACTTTATTTGAAAGATTTCAGTGGTTTTCTGGCTGGTTTGTGCAAATCCCTCACATTGACATATGCAGCTAGTCTACTTTTTTTTCAGTAGCTGCTTGGTTAGTTCATTACAGCAAAAAGAGGCTATAGCATCACATGTTTGTTTATTTTAAGGTTGTTTATAATCTAGGTTTTCAAGCTCCCATGAAAAACAGTATCGTTCCGTATGTACAAGGAATGCTCTGTACTGAGATGATTAGAGTGAGATTTGTCCATATCTTGATGGAATAAAAAATGTGTATGATTGTTTTTAAAATCATAAATTAATGGCAATGAGACATTAATTTATGATTGTCAAGCTGATCCTGTTATGTGTTTTTTTTTCATTTTTTATTTATTATTCTGTTCTTCTGTCTGCCATCATTATGAGCTCTGACTGGTTGTTGTTGTTGCAGGGTGTTGGGGTACATCCTTCGGGAGGACGAAGAAAGCCAAAACAGCTCGTTCCAGAGAGGGGTGAAGGGGGAGGTTATCGGCACATGCCGCTCGTCTAATTTGAGAGGAATTTTCCTGCTCAAACTGTAAAACCATGCTCTGAAGGCATCATTTTTAAAAATGCACTGTAATATGAGCCCTTTACAGCTTAATATTCAGACATTTTCATGTATAAATTACAACACAGACCACATTTCAAATACAATAATTTATTAAAGCATTTTTAAAATTCTGATATAAAACATTTTCAGTCTTTTTTTTTCTTTTCCACAATTTTTTTGCCTCATCAAACAATCAGAAGTCTGAAAAAAAAAACAACAACACAAAAAACAGTCATTGTCAACGGCAACGTGGCTCGCTCTCTGGTGTGGCCGCCGGCAGCTGACCAGAGCGCCAACTGTGGGTGAAAATGGTCAGAACGCAACAGAGTATGAACAGTGATCTAACGTGAGGTAAATACTAAGCTCATTAGGTTGAAATGACATTACTCTAACCATAAACTATTCTGCAATGATAAAAAATAGTTTCAGTTTGTCTCTAACAGTCAGGGAAGCCCAGGAACATGGCAGAAAATGTCGATTATACATCTTGTAACACTAAGCAACATTTGCTTTGTCCATAAGAGAACAAATAAAACTAACAATGAATTTCAAGCTTCGTTCTCGCTCAAATCAAACGTTTTTATAAATAAATATCAGACCCCTAATTGGGCTGCTAACATTTCTAAAAGCAAAAAAAAAAAAGAAAAAAAGCACAGAATTAAACTTTGCTCTCAGATGCGATGAATGCTGTCATGCTTTTATTCTAAAACACACAATTTGGCTACTTTTAAACATACATTCAGCTCATGTTTGTTTTTGCTCATGGAGAGTAGCTCAAATATTCTAAAATTAGTCATTTTCAGTCATGTTAACAAAGATGTTATATTTTCAATTGATGTATCTGGTTAATCAAGTTTCATTAGTTGCGGTTCTTTTTTTTACCTGTTAGAGAAGTGTTTTTTGCCTCACACACGAATAATAACAAACCAGTTCATCTTCTGCTTCTGCAAGGCCACATTTATGCTGTTTAGTAAGGCAAGAGGAGGGGGACTTCATAAATACCCTGAGGGGATCTCCATTCAGGAGAACATTCATTAGAAAGGGGCCAAAAACACTTTCAGTGTGTGAATGCTACTGCAGCACATTCACAGATGATGTCTGAGATTTTCCAAATTGGTCATTTGGATGTTTCGGTGTTTCCAACTGTGCTAAAAGAAAGATCTTTAAATTATATCCAGTAAAA